ATACTTAAATTTTTGCATATCTTACTCTGTACTCAACAAGGCTGCAAAATAAAATTGCATAAGACGTCTTTCAATCTTCTTTTCCTTTTAAAATTGAAAGCTTCGCCCCCCTGTACCAAAATCGTCGCTACAGTTTTGTTCGTAAGGTAAACCATCTACTTTACATGATTCTGTCTAATTTGATTTCTTCATCCGTCATGATTCTAAATCTTCAATACAACGCGCTTCAAGGTCTAAAAGTTCTGTCAGGAACATAAATTACATTTGGGCCTCGGTGCTTTACAATACTGGCGACATTGATTCAGCCGTTCGAGTCCTACCGTTCATACACACGGTTCTATACCGTTGGTGATCTACTTTAAATCATCTAAAAAAAACCATTAATAATTCAACTGGTATAATCTCTCCAGAATTTACTACTGTTGCTCGATCCATTTCGTTTGTCTCCCTTTAAGTATCCACAATACGCTCATAGAGTCCTAATACATTTTCGTCGTCAATAAAATTGTCGAAAGTTGAAATCTTTCCAGGATTAGCAACACTTGCTACCAGAACAAGAAGGAATCTCGTAGATCAACACGCCAATAGAACCAAGCTAAAAAAAACCATTAAAATGTCTTGAAGAGACAAGACGTTAATCAAAATGCAACATTTAAGACATGTCAAGTGACAATCCGTGATCCTCAATCGAAGTTGCACATAGTAAATGTCGCCTAGGCGATCTTAAAGTGCTCTCGGTGCCTTGCGCATGTACATAAGTGTTTGATAATTAGCGTGAGGTCACAAAAAACTCAGAAAATAAAAATTAAAAAGCAATTAGGCAGTATGTTGAAATAGTTCGGGGTAGCGGAGCGGTTAGGTTTCTTGCTGATTACCCGCATTATTGCGAAAACGTATATCTGCTAAGCACAGTTCGTAATTTGAGGCTTAAAACCAGTGAAAGGCTGTCACATAGAATACCTTTTTATTGCCAAGACGCGTCGGACCAAATAGTCTGGTTCAGATAAAAATTGTGGTAAAGGTTAGAACTGAAAAGTCATGATGTCGTCAGTTAGTAAAAATACTACGCAGCAAAAGATCTGAACGCTACTGCACGCGTATGCCGCGGGTGATAAGCCATATTGCTTTCTTAATGATTGGCTTTGCTGTCCAAAGGGAACGATCCGGTATCGGCAAAAATTTCTACTGGAGTGGCGCTAAGAAAGCCTGAGCCGCTACCTGTTCTGGGAGAGAAACTGGAGGGTAATCTCCGTGTAGTGTTGGTCCGGATTCAGAGAACGGTCTGTCAGTCAGCTACACGAGGCAGTGCTAGAAGAGGCAAGCAATGTATAACGGGCTAAGTACGGTGTGACACGGAGTACCGGCTGTCTCATGACAACTTGGGTATTATGGTATCTTAAGCGTCAACTGTGTCAGTTGCTACAAAGCAGCCTTATCGTCAAGCTTAATAGGTACGAGATAAGTTTAAACTGTCTACGAGAGTTCTCCGAAGAGTACATGACTTCACTGAGCGCAATGTAAGCCCCGATAGGGTATTCAACATGGATAAGACGGGATTATCTCCGAAAAGCGGACAGACGAGGTTTATCGTACTAAAAGTCCTAAGAATCGTAAAGCAAGTTTATTCAGTGCAGTTTCCATCTTAACCGTCTTATCTATTGCGTCATCGGCGAGCTTTGTCTCCTCAGCGCTGTACGTTTATTTCAGGGAATCGTGTCACCCGCGACGTGTTAGACGAGTGAACAGAACATATAAGTTATATCATGACTACTCCTGGGGGTTCCATTTATAGCGTGGGGCTTAATTAATGGCCCCACCACTTTTCGGACGCCGTTTCTTTTGCTGTGCAGCGATAACGCATCCTGATATAATATAGGTGCATTAGTCACTACAGCAGCAATCGCGCACTATCCCGCAATACAATATTTTCCTTGTGCTTATTCCAGAGAACACCACTCACCTCCTCTGCTTCTAGACATGGCAGTGTAAATGCCTTTAAGACCAGCATCGATACCGTGATGCACGAGTACAAATTGAACGGAAGTGAAAGGTCCATCACGCCTAAATCTGCCAATCGCCTAATGATCACCGCGCGGGGAAAGGTCATCATATCGAATATTTTAAAAGCAACTGCTGGCTTTAGATCGTGCAAACTTTGAACAGTGGCACTGTTGCAATAGAAGAGTCGACTCAAGCTCTTTAAAGATATAGGGTGCGTCAAGTACGTCAAGTTGCTTTCATGGCTCAAAGTCAGAGCGATTTTGTATACGATGCAATTGTTCTTTCTGCGTCGTCGTCAGCTGCTCATAAGATACGCAAGCCTTTTTGGCGTTAATTGTCAAAATTTCACGCGCGCGCCTTACAAAACATTGATGTGAAGCAGCCATCCCAATATGTACACTGCATATCTATGTAGATTTAGGGGATTGCTTAATTCACACCCCTTTTCCTTAGATTCACACCCTTCCTTCAAAATCTTATATATACAATCCCTATTCATTTGGAAGATTTGTTTTCTGACAAAAGTATTACTCGAAAATCTAGGCCATTAATTGGTAAGTAATACGTTAGAAATACATAAGATTCTACTCACGCCTGTGGTCTAGCTCTTCCAGCGTTTACTGATAGGGCACCACGCAATAACATGCTTCCTCCTCCCGAGGTTGAGAATGCCAGTCGGGAGCAACTTATGGATACTGTTCAGACGTTCGCACGTGGCCAAGGCTATGCTGTTACGATAAAAAGTTCGATTGCAGGATAGCGTGTCTACCTTAAATGCGATCAAGGTGCCGTTAACGTACCAAAGGTTAAAAAGAGCGCCAACGCCAGACCAGCTCACGCCGAATTGATTGCCCGTTCCTTTTAAGTTGAAATTTTTCCAAATAAGGGGTAATTGGAAGTTAAACGTGATGAATAGTTCCACAATCATGAGCCTTCACTCCATCCGTCTGGTCATTCGGCTTATAGAAAGCTAAATAGCGAGCAGGCCGATACTGTCAGAAATATGACATTGGCTGGTGTTAAACCGTTAGGGATTCTTTCATCCCTTCTTATGGAGAATAACGGTGCCCATGTAAACCTCTCTACATTGTACAATGAGCGTACGAAACTTCGAAAGGGCAAATTAAAAGGATGGAATTCGATACAAGCTCTTTTTGATAATTTGCAAGCAAGCAATTTTACGCAATTTTACAGATGTGATGACGATGGAGCAATGCATCCCTTTTTTTGCTCACAAAGAAAGTAATCGGCTTGGTTGCCGATACCATCATGTCGTGCTTATGGACTACACATACAAGACCAACAAGTACCGACTCCCCTTACTTCACATTGTTGGTATAACAATCTTCAATAGTCAGTTTTCGGTTGGCTTCTGCTTTCTTAAAGAAGAGAAGCAAAACGATTACATGTGGGCATTATCAAAGCTTGCAGCCATCCTGACACCAGAGACACGCCCAGCCGTGATTGTGACAGATCGTGAACTGTTGCTGATGGCAGCTATCGATAAAATATTTCCATCTTCAACACACATGCTGTGCACATGGCACATCAACAAAACATCATGTCCAAATGCAAACGACAATTTGAAATGAGCGAGCAATGAAACTAGTTGTCTCAGCAGTGGAATAATCTGGTGGCTGCTAACACGGAAGTGGAATTTGAAAAACAGTGGAAAGAGCCATCAAAATCTTTTGACAGTAAGTCTAAAGTTCTCGAATACCTCTCTAATACGTGGCTTGTATATAAGAATCGCTTTGATAATGCCTAGTCGTCGAGGTATCTCCATTTTGGCAACAAAGCTACATCACGAGTCGAAGGCGTCCATGCGTACGTAAAAAACATTTCTGCAAGTATCAACAGGGGACTTGCTGTCGGTGCTCAGCAAACTGACTCTTGCAATTGAGCATCAAGTTAGAACCGAAGAAACACATCGCAGCAGAGACAAGTTACTTCACCTGACCGGGTTGCCGTCAACTTTCACTCCAGTATCCGGGATTATTTCAGCCTTTGCACTCAAAAAGTGTCTTGATCAATTCAAGAGGAACACAGAAGAAAAAGCTTGTTGCACAATGGTTTTCACCTCGACAATGGGCATCCCTTGTGCGCACAAGCTAAAAGAAATAGAGAACAGCAAGCGTGCATTAGGCATAAACGATTTTCAAGAGCAATGGCATCTGAGAATTGGAGACGCAACGTAACGGTATGGCAGTTACTTTTATAGTGTGTGTATCTGACTAACGCTGACAACTGTGGTTCTATTTATTAAAAGGTAACAAGCGGTGGAGTTAAGGCGATCAACATAAAATGGAATAGGCTTGAAGAGAAGTTAAAAGAAATACCAGATGACCAAGTTAAGATTCTCTTTGTCCAAGTATCGTAACTGTTGGAAGGCCGCAGCACAGTGGTGGGGCTGAAAGATCCGATGGTACACACTAAATCATGTGGTCGTCCCCCTGGCTCCCGTAGCCTTCCAAAAAGCAGTACAAAACGAGACTTGTCCAAGTTCGAGCATGCTGAAACGGCATATTATCAACACCAAAGGAAATGTGGGTGCTGCGGCAAACCAGGTCACTACAAACGAACTTAACAGTTTCGAAAGAAATACGAGGTCGAAGATTAAAATGCATACTTTTAAAGCAAATCATAACATCTTTATGTTGATCAGTTATCGATTGTCTTACTTCCTTCTACCGTGCGTTTATGTATTATTTACGCTTGGACACGGTGAAGCAAAATGGACTACGCCAAGTCTTCAAAACACATTATAGCTCCTGATAAAAAACAAGTTGGTGTACAGTATGCTTACCAAGAAATTCCAGACCCCATTATTTTTCCATCAGATCAACTCTAATCCAATATGGCGTTCAAAAATGCACGAGGTAGCTAAATTGAAAGTGCAGATAGTAGCGGAAATATATTAAGCCGAGTAAGGGTACTGGAAGCACCGTGTGCAAGTTTGTCTTGTGCTCTTCAAGAATTTCCTAAGTGTTACACTGCACTCAAAACACGATCGCTTCTTGCCAATTCTCATTCTTCTCTTGTCGCATCCTGCTCGAAGCAGTCTTGATCTTTGTCTTGGAGTACGCACGGTTACGCTGCGTGAGCATGTGGCTATACATGACGGGCAGGCCTGGGATGTACACCACTAGCACGAGAATGACCACCACGTAGAGCGAGATCGAGATGTTGTGTGTGTTGGGCAGCTGGATGGCATACGCACCCGTGGAGAAAAAGCTAAGCGAGCTCATCATGCAAATTACTTCGCCTATTAGACAAAAAGAGTATGTGAGCTCTACTAGCACCTCAACGAAATCAAGCCACTCGGATCGACCTGCGGCAGGTCATTGTAGAAGCAGGGAAGTACGTACCAGGCACACCCGAGGGATAAAACAGGATAGAAATGTGGTAGCGCAGAAAGAAGCGGAAGTTGGGCACGGCGTCGTACAGATTGAGTGCATGAATAGAGTAGCGCGGCAACTCCACGTGGCCCCACCATAAGCGGGAAGCCGTACCGATAGCGCGAGGCGGGGCGGAGCCCAGACGAGAAATAGCCGAGAGCTCACTTGCATAAGCGTAGAGCCCACTGGGCAGCCCGCAAAGCTCACGGCAGCGTGCACGATCTCCATCACGGACTAATCTTAAAATGAATAGGGATTGTATATATAAGATTTTGAAGGAAGGGTGTGAATCTAAGGAAAAGGGGTGTGAATTTAGCAATTCCCTATATTTATTTGGCATTAATTTTGGTAATGCAATGTATTTCTGGTACTTTCGTGTAAAATTGGTGCTTAGCACACTATCCTATGTACTTGCGCGTTTAGCTTCTATAAAGTTTAAAGCAAAAAACTATTCTTAGACTCTATTTTCCTGTTCAAAATTGTCGATTTTTTGCGCTAATGTACAGACGAATCAAGTTTTTCATTGGGTCTTGATTTATGGCAATATTTAATTCTGAAATGTTAGCATATCTAGAGGAGTAAATTAACCTAAGTAGAAATCGCGGAGAGACTCTTAATATTAAGCGATTAAAACCTTACATTATAACTTAAGTTCACTTGGTGGAATTGGTAGTTCGTGCAGTGAGTACGAAATATCAATGTTAGACCAACTACAAAACAAAATGTGTCTACCTCTACTAAATTTAACCTCGGTGGACACATCTCCTATAAGCTGGCAGAGGATACTAGCTATCGGAACATGATGGCATTATTCATAGAGAATTATTTTTCATGTTGTGTGACATATACTTTTACTAAATTTAAGGAAAATTATTACTCACGGAAAACAATACAGTTAAGTCGATTATTAAAGGATGAAAAGTAAAGCTCTCATTTAAGACCACTCTTTCCTTTTCAACCCCAAAACGAACTCATTTAAAAGTGGTAAAAATGATACTTTTAGCGATTAAATTTTAGATCCTCGCCTTTTGTTCGTACAATTGGCTTAGGTTGTGCATCAAGATCAAAGACATGTAGCCATTTTGGTCTTCTGCAGCGCGCGTTAATATTCGCAAGGACCACGGTGTAATTTTGGCTAATATTACCATTGATGAGAGAGTCAACCTAATAAAAGGAAGCGAGAGTGCTTAGCCAGAATTTAATGATCAAGATATAATGAATTCATTGTTAAGGAGAAGGAATGAAAACAAAGAACTGAAGCAGAGGAGGTGGGTAATTACAGAAAGATATAACAAGTGCGAGAGGATTTTAGTCTTGGTCGGCATCCGCAACTTGCATTGCATAAGGCACTATGAACCTCTGGTCCTATCTCCAAAATTCCTTACATACCTAAGGCTAACATGTGCAGTGCCATCGCCATACATCACCCTCGATGATTCGCCTAATAGGTTACTCACCTACGTTTGATACAATTTCTCCGTACATACACTTGAATCTTGCTCCCATGGCAATTAATTATAAGTTAAGAGGTAGCGATCATCAAACAACTATGTAACGCCCCGGTAGAAGTCCAACCCTGTGATGTAGCGGATGGATGTAATCATCTAGAAAACTGATATCATAGGGAATCAATAAAAGCTCTTCTAGGAGTGTTTTATATTTAAGTCTAGATGACGTGTGGCAAAACTTTGTGACATCACAACCCACTAGTGCATTTCATTAAAGGTTATCAGACACTTCATTCTCTGACTTACAGCCCTTGTACTGTTATTCATTAATTGCCTATCGTTGAATTAATGATATAGAAGAGCACTTATCAACACAATTTTGGCGTAATAACACATTATACAAGAAACTACTAAGTCGGCTAAGGGAAACTACTAAGTCGGTACGTTCACAAACTAATAACGCAATCATAACGTATTTAAAAAATCATTCTTGTAACTTGACAAAAATCTAGGTGTATATTGTTGCATGTTTTTCTCTGAGGGTGATTATTAAGCTTTTGCTGATGCACAGATTGCTCTACAGGAAGATAAGAATGTAGAATTGTTTTGAGTCAAGACCCTTCTAAAAAAGACGAAAGTTCGAATCTGAAAGCTTTCTGGATTATTTGCAGCCATTAGGGAAAGTTTACGGTGGATGTCACGGTGCGGCGCTACACTAATAGTAATGGACTTGAATCGGTTTTGAATCATCGTACGGATGGGCGGGGAAGAAAACACCGATAATTGAGATTAATGAAGCGCACCCGTTCCACCATAGCACCAAAAAATTATTGCAGATGTTGCGAATTTTTAAAAAATATGTCTAAGCCACATAAAGCAGCAGAAATTTAAATGTCTTATAAATAGTGAGGTGCATGCACGTCATATTTTACAAGCTTTGTGAATAAGTTGAAGCTAACGGAGAAGAGATCGAGATATTTTAAAGCTGCAAAAGGAGCGCCATTGGATCTATCACAAGGTCGTACTCCCCTGAGGATCTTACTTGATGACCTGACCAAGAACTTTAATTGACGATCTATTTGGACGTGAAAAAATAAGCCTGCATTATTATTTTGTTTGCCAATTGACACAAGTTGGATGCAACTAGCGAGTATCCATTGAATCATTTTTTGCATGGACCTCGCGTACAAGATACATAGGAGGCTATCAAGATATCGTTTTATTTTAATAAGTTACACATACTTATTCTCATATCGTTTATCGCTGTGTGTGTAGCTTCAAGATTTCACTACTGCATGTAGTGGTTGTCGCTGCAAACAAACAGTGATTTTTGACCGTGGATTTTGCTCCATTTATCGCGAAACAGAGGCTAGAACCCTCTGGGCGCTGAATGAAGCAAGTACCGATTTGCATTTTGGTTTTAAGGCGATTTATTTTTTTTATGAACAGAGAGCTTGCCCCAATAGTACTGTGTCAATCGCATATCATTACGCAGTCTTAACATTGTGCATCTGGTACACACATAAAAGTGCTAGATACGCTGAAGTTTTTAAATTCGAGTTTAACGGAAACTGGGATGTTTTTACCCACCGGCAAGTCACGTGTCAGTATTCTACCGGTTAAAAAACATAAAGAATGCAATCTACGATAAAAAATCTAGCAAAAATACATTTTATCATTTGTACAGAACATAAATAATTCACAAAAAGTCTATCCGTGCGTTGTCTAACAAACTTAACACCTTGGAAACACTGTAGCTTGACGATTTGAAGGAGGCAGTGTAAATATAAAAAAGCAAGTAAATGTGTTCACTGGAGATCTTGCAATGTATGTGTATACTCGATTGTCTCTAGCTCGCGAGAATCAAAAGTCAGTGATAAGTCATTGCTATGCGTTTGAGCGTTCTAAACACTATAACGCATGTTGAGTAACTCGTGGACATCAGTTGTGCGTAAGATATCACACCACACCATTTGCAAAATGAAAACATACGGGCTTCATTTGCTTGCAAATGTAGCTTTAGAACTAATTACTTTTATCAGGCATTCGCTGAATATCAGAAGACATTAGTATAGCCAAAACATCACGTAAAATGCACAAATTCTTTAGTCAAATTAATAGCGTGCTACAAATCATATATAAGCGATTCGTAATGTTGAATGTGGATTAAACGTTAATGATGTTATCTTGCACTTAAATCGTTTCCTTGCGTATCCTTCAAAGCTTTTAGTGATGTCAAGTTCTTGTTAAAACATTGCGCACTTACAAGAGAGGCATGCAAAGTTGCTGCGATTATAGCACTTTTTTAATTACCTAATCAAAATTGATAAATTGACCAAAAGCTAAATTCTCATTGTAAATAATGTCACCGTTGCCACAAGAAGCAGGTCGTTCATGTCATGAGGCTAGAATAGAGAAACTTAATAGCTTTTAAAAATGCTGAACTCCAAGACGTAAAAATCTCAGCACTTTGGCGCTTGAGATAATTGAAATACGTTATTTAGAATTAGCGAACCTCATTATACACGATTTGCGCAAATTACTCTCACTCCATTCAATAGTATCTTTACACACTCACCCCTCTCTATAACAGACTCTTTATCGACAAATTCTTTATTAAAGAGTCACTGTGTCGCCGAACGTTTAAAATATAAAATATTTTGTTTACCGCTATTTCAATAAGCGAGTAAGATATGAGACACGAAACAACTCGCCCATTTGAGGTAAAAACCTTTTTAATATAACTCACTACCCCTACTTCTGATGATCGAATACGATAAGTGGCATATGATATGACAATTGTTCTATTTGAAGATTTAAAAGAAGCTTAGGTCGATTTAGCAAAGTTATAGAACCACGGACGTGAACTAAGGAAGGACTAAAGCATGTAATGATAGGCGAGCTTATGAAGCACATTTGCAGATGATGCCATGACGACAGATATAGAAGACAAAATTGAAGCTTTGTTAGGCAATAAATAGTGAAATCGGAACTTGATGTGTGTTTATACTCCACTACACTACTGATTTAATACGATCACCCGATGATTGTTAACTGTTGTCGACATCAAGCCCGTGCGACCAATAAGCTCAACAAAGTGAGTATACCTACCACTAAAGCAGGAGTACGAGATCTTTGAACACTGCAAAGAACGCCTAAACGTCCGCTTTTTACAAAGTAAATACGTAAATGAGCATTCATTTCCAGCGAAGCAATAGTAAGAAACGGCACATCGGCTATGGACATGAAAAAAGTCGAGTTTGAGGGCTTTAACCCTCTTGTGAAAAAGAAAAGACATATAAAGCTTACTGAGTTCTATAAGGCACTGCCTAAATTCGTTTTCGAGCGCAAGTGACAGGTTATGTAAAGATTAAGTCCCGGAGAAAATATACCGACTGCGAATGATCCATGAAGTCGAAAATTACGATCTTAAGCTTTTCAAAGGCTAGCTCTAATGTTTCAACCAGCAATTTAACGTTAAAATCACGAGTTGACCGGCTAGAGCGGGAGCTTATGTACCAAAAATGTGCAGGCAGCAAAGTCTAATATCCGATCTCTAATTGATCAATTTTCTTTGAGTAATGTGCTTATTTTGATGAGACAGCATTTTTGTACGACTTGCCGTCGAACAGAACCTATTCGCAGTTCAGAACAACGGCAAAAAGAGCGTAAATTTACGTATAATAGTTGCTATGTGGTGCAACGCAAGTACCTTTGTAATTTGGAGTCCATGATGGTCGGGCGTATCATCGATTAGTAGCAAGACTTTGCGATCATGCATTCGAGTTTTAATATGATACAGCCACGCATTAAAGATTTTTTTTTGGTCATCCAGGCTTTTAAGTTTTTAGCGCAGACTCTGCCACGCTTCTCGTTCTACACACCCTCAAAAAACCTTAAATTTTTACTAACAGCCACAAGGTCCGACGAGAAATAAACAACGACACTGTGGTCTTTTTATTGCCAAACATGACTTCCACCATTTAGCCGCTCGATACATGTACGCACTTATATCATAGTTTATAGATGTTCGTATTAGATCTGCATTAATCTCCTCGCCTACATAACACAGATACCATCCGACCGTTTACAGCTCGCTAAAACAAACTCCGTATGTGATGGCGCATGGATCTGATTGTAGCAAACATGGAACGCAGCCTTAATGTCCTCAAAGCCATTGATGTTAAAGCTAAGAGCTTGGACAAGATAGATGGGTGATCATTTGAAGTTGCAGGTTCAAGAGTGAGATCATCGAAGCGCCACAGGTTGCGGATATGCGCGCATAAGATGACTATCGACAGTCCAGCCTCGTCTTCCGACAAGACTCCAGCAATCTGGCTGGAATGTTCAATGTACAAAAGCTTTGGGTAATCGTTAGCGTTGATGATTATGTCAAAATCGAGGATCACGAGCAGATTTACGAAGAACAAGAAGCTCTAATTGAGGCAGAAGTGGAACCCGCGGATGTCGAAAGCGACGAAGATCAATGTCTGTCAGTGCAAACGAAGAGATTAAGTGCTACCTGATTTTGCTTCTGTACTGCATACGATCAGACGAGGACGCTCGAATCACACAGTCATATCTGCATAGATGTTGTCGGTTATTCGCAAGAACCGGCATGCTAGGGCAACACAGCTCGACACGGGAGACTTTCTTTTGTAGAAAACGTTACATTAAATTATATAAAAGGGACATATTCGGTATCCTTACCTGAATGCCCCAATATTCTTTTTCTCAGTCGTTGTACGATTACGCAACTTTGACACTCCGTCCAGCAGGCCAGCGAAGCACAAGACAGGCGCGACACGAGAGCAAAACATATTAAACCTAACAGGCGATGCATAGCCACGTTTTTTTTACTACAGCACCTATAGACCTCTTGTCCTGGTACGAGTTGAAGTTCTAAACAAGCAGCACAACCTCAATGATGTCCTTACCACTCAGCGCACGCACCTAGTCAACAATGAAGCTCACGACGCTTGCGTCCGTGCACGAATGGCACAGTAAAGTGCGAGTGCATGCTGTTGCATCTTTGCATGTTAGACACGAAAGCCGATGGGCTGTGAGCTCCGCAAGTACGGATGCAATGTCTGTGTACGTTTCGTTAAGCAACAGCTAAACACCACAGCTGCTTCCCTACTACCGTGTACTCCACGCAGCAAGATGGTTAGATCACGGTAAGCGTCAGGGCCTACCATCGAGTCAACCAGATTTTTCGACTGGAACAGCTCCGTCTTGAGTCTATTGTAGACGCATCCCAGCACGACCACAGTATGCACGTCTTTCTACTTTTAGCGCAGGAGCTCAGACTTCGTTCTGCGCAGCGACTCGAGTTTGTTCCAGATTTTAAATTCAGCATTGTCGCGCACGGCGCACGTGTTGATCAGCACAGTGTCTGTAACATCGGCCATCGGGACTGGCATGTAGCCATCTTTCAGCAGAATCGCGCGCACAATTTCAAAGTCTGCCGAGTTCATTTGGCTGTCGTACGTCTCGATTTTAAAAGAGCGACGCTGCTGTTATCCCCACCTTTTTCAGAGACCGGGCGGTGCTCGACATGTTTACATAAAATTCAGATTACTTGGCTCGTGTACCGTCTGTTGGTGCGGGAGCGGCTGCGACCCGCAAAGGGAATCGCCAATCGGTGGTTTCGCTTTATAAAGATCATGCAACTTCTTCTTTCCTATTTTCTATCAGAGACTTTTGTATGACAAGTGGGGGCGACACAATATCTGTAGGACAAGAAATCGGAAATTCTATGAAGGCGGTCTGTTCGTGACAATCGTTGTCGTTGAAATTAAGCAAAATAGACGCGTCCTAAGGTGACGTAAGAACAGTTTAAAAAATTGATACTGGCTAATGGCTCTTAAAATAGTTGCGTAGAAATCTCTCGCACTTGTAAGCCTACGTTAGATCGGATGTATGATGAATTGAGCATATGATAGATCAGCAAAAGCGGTAGAATACGAACATGGCATCAAATGGTAGTAAGCAGTATCATATTTGTGGCTGTGGAAAATCCATACAAGCATCTACGTCTCGTATTAGGAATGCACAACCAGCAGACGCTTTTAAATCATATTTAAATTAAAAGAAGCTCCGTCTTTACACGGTACTCTTACCACCCCTCCAGTAGCCGTGCTGTCACTTCGTTGTCACCTCGGTGTCACCTTTACTTAAGGTCCATGACCTACACTGCACAACAAGCGTGAGCAAAGGGTCTAACATACATTCAACGGATTCCAAACGCATCTTTATAACGTCCATGGTACTATTTATCGAGTCACTTGCGTCGGACATGGCGGCCTTGAGACAAAGGGGCTGTGAGATTCACATGAACAGTTTTCGTGTCAATCTTGTGCAACAGAATTGCTTGCGGTTTATCAACGCGATCGAGCATATGGTATTCTCAATCTCTAGTCGTTTTTAGCTTCGATAAATGTAAATGATGCGCTTACATTGATACATGTACCATCCCCTTGATGATAAAGGTGACGCACAATGTTACTTGCCGATACTTCTTGCCCTGCAGTTAGAAAGTCCATACAAGAAAACACTCTACGTTACAGTGTCATTCATTCCACCAAATTGATTGCAGCCAACCATTGCGTTGCCACCTACGCGTCATGGAATGTATTAGCATATCTATGTAATACTGACATTACAATGGCATTGCCTAGTCTTCAATAGCCTTCTTCTTGCTCAGCAAAAACTTCATCGAATTGCGTCAATATCAACACATTCTTTCACAACAGCAGTTTTTGCACCTTCGTGACTTCATCTGCGTTTCCTGCCACGTTGAGCAACGTGAAATATATACTTGCTGGAGCGAAAGTTGATTATTAGGCAACTGATGTACAAAAGTGAAAACATTCCAAGACTTTTACCATTGTGTGCCCTTTGTCATGTGTTCGTGTTCGATAGTTATTTAGAGAGGGTCCAGGACTACTGCTATGGGATTTATGGATACAGTTATGAAGGGTGTATGGAAATAGTAAATGTGTGCGTCGATAAGTATTCCCGAAGCGTTATTCGTAGTAATTTGGTTGCAATCCAAAAGCAGATGCAGTCTAGATCTGTTATTACTGCATCTGGGGATGTGGATCACAGTGACTTGAAGCCAGTAGTATATACAATGTCCGGAACTACTGTGAAGACAAACCTGGTAAGCTCATCCGCCTTTAATCCAAGGCAGAAATCGGTTTGTAACGAGCGAGTTTATACGTGAAAATAGTGCAGTGTCATCATGCTGCTAAACAAGTCCATCGGGCGACCGAACGCATTTGTCGCGCCAATTTTCGCTTTTTTCTTTAAACAAATTACCATTAACCAAGAAGTTACCGCTTTGTCACGAAGAAGACTGTCAGCGTAGCGTACCATCGAATACTGATTGATCATGCTGATGATGTGTACTGCAAAATCAGCATAGTTTGACTAATCAATAGGTGAGGCGCTTAACAACGTCTTAACAAACACGACAGCAAATATTTATTAGTCAGATATTGGTGATTCTGCATGAGTCTATTGCGCTAGCATGAACTGACTGATTTATATTCGCTTTCGCGTTCGTTAGGACGATGATCTACATTACCTATTCAAATCTCAAAATTTATGTGGTGAATGCCTAGAGCATCAAATTGAGCTCCCCAAAATTAGGGGCGCTCGAAGCGGGACCGAACGAAATTAGAATGGTTTGCTCAAGGGGGTATGGGCATGAGTCAACAAAACGTTCCTGTGTTAGCTAGGGAGATGATCTTTGCTCGGTTCATGCTCAACGACTTGATGACAGGGCGCTGAAGCGTACCCGCATTTTGAAAGAAATTACCCATGGTCTCCGTCATTCTTGGCGGGCTGGTATATTTACAACTGCGGCTCTCGTTACTTTAAAGTTAGTGCAACCTGAGTTGTCTTGTTGAGTCAAGTGTTGTGCTTCCAAGCTTGCCTCGGCGTTTGACTGAGCACTGCGCGTTGCCATTCCTCCTCTGTTTTTACCCTTGCATCCAGCCGATCCACAAAAAATTAACAGTAGTTGGGCGAGCACTGTTGTCGTAAGTAGAAGGATTGCTACATAAGCCAGTGAATGGTTGTCCACACACCCGCGTTTTGCTATCCGCACACCTCTTCATACCAATCGACCTAAGACCCATACCGATAGCCCAAGAGCCTCCCGAAAAAGTGAAGTACACAAATGCATGACACAGGGTACACTATCGTATCAATTGGAACGTCTTATAATGTTGTTCACTCAATTATACATCATTTGTCTAATTTTCATTTTCGCTCTTACTCAATCATACTTTACGATGTTCTAGCATGGCAAGAAGGTCAGAGGAAGTCGCCAAGATACAAGTACAGCTGCCGCAACCGAGGATGTCGGCTATGACGCGATTCGGAATCGTTTCTGTGGTTCGCAAAGATGTAACGTCGTCATTGCGCTCGTGATTTTGTTCGCCGCATTTAATCTCGATTTTGAGCAGTGTTCTTCCCCGCCACCCCGTACTATAATGCACCATGGGCAAAAACAAGCAGATGAGTGCTTGTACAGTGACACCGTGACCTTCCGCCCTAGACTTTCTTTCATGGCTGCAACGAAGCCATACAGTTTTTTTGCTTCGACCTATCGACTTTGCTTCGGAACGACTCGACGCAAAAACCTTTTACATCGGCAGCTTTCTGTACAACGATTTGTGCATCAGCAAGAGTATCGTACGCATCCAATAGAGCAAGTGTTGCTAAAAAAAGAAGTCAAAATAGTGTTTACCGAGGTATGAGGTTAAAATGAAAGGGCGTTATGACTGCGTGTCGAGGGTGATCATACCGGTTTAGTAGGGACTTGTAAAATGTGATGTAATGCTGAAATACTGTGTTAACAAGTGTTTATACATTGGCCAATCACCGATGGGTACTTTAATGAAGAGCAGTGTAAAGAGTGCGTGGACAACCATTCCCGTGACTCATTTGACGCTGCGTCTGAGGTAACTATGATAATTGTGAAGCTGTGTGTACGCATCTAATATCAACCCTCGTCCGACGCTCGTGGTAAATTGTCTAGAGTTATATCAATGAGCTTTACTAAAACCTGGTGGTGACCCGTAGCAAATTGGAGTATGCCATCGTCATCCTAGTGCAATCGCTTGCTTGATTGAGTCATATGTGCTTTCCGTAGGTCAACTTTCGTTGATATCAGCATCGTACAGCTTTCAGTGCCCGTTATATGGTTGTGTCTGTTGAAGCGCAGTACCGGTTTTTTAGGCCATGAACGTCCTGATGGATGAGCCAGGAGATGTAAGTAGACTTGACATCGTCGTGCACTGACGAGACTTTGCGATCCAGCTCCGTCGAATACGAATCGGGCCTTACCCGTGCACATGACAAGAATGACATAAAGTTAACGATAGCTACTTGATAAAGACTTGGGTAATACAGGTAAATCGCCGTCTTGGTCGCGAATCTATAGGTTCTGAGCCCCAGTGGAAGTATCTTTGAACAGTCGAAATACTCCGGTATGTCATCGATCGTTATTTATCGTATCCTAATGGTGTCGAGTCCGACGGCAGATACGCGAGAACACGCAAGACAGGTATTTGCTGACACTTGAAAGACGCAGACCGCTGCAACAGGAAGAATCACGCTTTTAGACTGTCCTATGTACTGATGTGACGAAGACCTTTCCAGCTTTCGTTTCTTCTGTTGCATCTAGTGTCAGTTCAACTGTTCCTTATTGACCTGCACGAGTTGCGACGGAGCAATTCGGTAACACGCCTTTTGTGGTGAGATCCTCGATTATCGATTGCGCTGGTATCGCGCCATTCAGGCAGCCACCGCAGTGGTGCATCGCAATAACCTGATGATCACTCGTGGCGAGGATGGGTGAGCCCGAGGCTCCTTCCTGGGTATCGATGTAGTAGCCCACGTCGTCTCGTCGGCATCCCGTGGCTGTGAGTGACTCGATCCGTCCCGGTTGGCCATTATGCAGCCACGCAATGCGTTTGCCGTAGCCTAGCGGATGCTGCGGAATGTAAATTGACTCTTTCAGCACTGCTCCAGATGGACGGAGCTGTAGGTAGCCATTCGTCTTCTCATACAAGCCAGAGTAATTCGCCACACTGTCGTTGATACCAAGTCGAACCAGCGCATAGTCCAATTCTTCCGACACGGCCACAAGCGTCGTCGACGCCACGCCGATCGGTCCTGGACATTCCCCACGCGAGTTGCAAGTGTCATTTGTACTGCAGCTCGTCGACTGAGCAAGAAACTCGACCCTGGTATTTAGCGCATCTTGGCTGTTGCCGATGCAGTGCTGATTCGTGATCAAATGACCCTCACAACCGAGCAGCCATCCCGTACAGTAGGCGATTGCCATGCCGTTGTCCTTGATGATCGACAGTCGTGCTACCGGTTGCGACTTGGCCAGCATGACGGCTCCTTCAGTACTGTTGTTGGTTGCATTCGGTGTGCAAACAGCTTCGACGGATTCATCTGCACCACAGAGACTTTCGTTGTTGATGTGGTCGTTGTCATCGCTTTCAGTCAAGTTGGCCGGTTCGATTAGCGGCACCTCGACAGCGCCTTGCAAATAATGAGCCTTATCGACGAGCTTTTTCGGAGTAAAGAGCAATCGACTAACGGTGAAGCCTCGACACGAAGTCGAGCTCGATTGATCAGGGACCGAGGGATCTTTGAACAGTTCCAGCACGACTCCGTTTCCCGGTATCGCGATCGAGTAAAATGCACCCGTTGCGTTCTTTCCCGACAGCACTGCCACTGGAGGTGTCGTCTCTGAATCTTCGGAAGAAGCTCTGAGCAGCAGCTCGTCGGATTCAGGGAGATTGAATTGCGTGAAGTACAGCACGTAGATGCCCTTCCCAAGCCCCGGGTCAAGCTGTAGACGATAGGAAGGCTCGTTTGCAGTCGCTTTTGGCAAGGTCGCGTAGTTGGAGAATCCGCACCCTGTACCGATCAGGATTTTCACTTCTCGACCGATTGCTTGCGCGACGACAACTTCAGCTGCAAGCGCGATGAGGAGGATGACAAAAGACCACTGCATTTTGATATCGACAGTTGCCTTGATCGAACAAGTCAAAAGATGTTGTGACGCTGTCTCCTCGCTTATCTTTGCTATTTCCGCTGTCCATCTCTCGTGTCGGTAGTGGATGATTGAAAGAGACGTCCTCGTCCGTCAAGAATGAGGTGGTACGACGTATTGCAATGCTTTCGACGGATGGTTTGCTACCGACTGGAGGAGTCAAGAAAGTTGCTACATTGTGTGCGACTGCATACGCACCTCGACGTCAAGGTCGACCTTTACCTAATGCAATTTCAATATATGGTTGCATTAAGCACACTGCTACCGCCGTGAATAAACTTGTCGTAATGGAAAATGACATTTGCGCCAAGCAAAGCAATTTCAAAATTTCGGATACATTTATTGCTACCTATCGTTTTCATGTTTTAGTTACATGTCCAGCTATGACCATATAACTCGATCGTCTCAGGTAAAAGTCGACCTTGACGTCGAGGTGCGTATGCAGTCGCACACAATGTAGCAACTTTCTTGACTCCTCCAGTCGGTAGCAAACCATCCGTCGAAGAGCATTGCAAAACGTCAGACCACCTCATTCTTGACGGACGAGGACGTCTCTTTCAATCATCCACTACCGACACGAGAGATGGACAGCGGAAATAGCAAAGATAAGCGAGGAGACAGCGTCACAACATCTTTTGACTTGTTCGATCAAGGCACCTGTCGATATCATGATGCAGCGGTCTTTTGTCATCCTCCTCATCGCGCTTGCAGCTGAAGTTGTCGTCGCGCAAGCAATCGGTCGAGAAGTGAAAATCCTGATCGGTACAGGGTGCGGATTCTCCAACTACGCGACCTTGCCAAAAGCGACTGCAAACGAGCCTTCCTATCGTCTACAGCTTGACCCGGGGCTTGGGAAGGGCATCTACGTGCTGTACTTCACGCAATTCAATCTCCCTGAATCCGACGAGCTGCTGCTCAGAGCTTCTTCCGAAGATTCAGAGACGACACCTCCAGTGGCAGTGCTGTCGGGAAAGAACGCAACGGGTGCATTTTACTCGATCGCGATACCGGGAAACGGAGTCGTGCTGGAACTGTTCAAAGATCCCTCGGTCCCTGATCAATCGAGCTCGACTTCGTGTCGAGGCTTCACCGTTAGTCGATTGCTCTTTACTCCGAAAAAGCTCGTCGATAAGGCTCATTATTTGCAAGGCGCTGTCGAGGTGCCGCTAATCGAACCGGCCAACTTGACTGAAAGCGATGACAACGACCACATCAACAACGAAAGTCTCTGTGGTGCAGATGAATCCGTCGAAGCTGTTTGCACACCGAATGCAACCAACAACAGTACTGAAGGAGCCGTCATGCTGGCCAAGTCGCAACCGGTAGCACGACTGTCGATCATCAAGGACAACGGCATGGCAATCGCCTACTGTACGGGATGGCTGCTCGGTTGTGAGGGTCATTTGATCACGAATCAGCACTGCATCGGCAACAGCCAAGATGCGCTAAATACCAGGGTCGAGTTTCTTGCTCAGTCGACGAGCTGCAGTACAAATGACACTTGCAACTCGCGTGGGGAATGTCCAGGACCGATCGGCGTGGCGTCGACGACGCTTGTGGCCGTGTCGGAAGAATTGGACTATGCGCTGGTTCGACTTGGTATCAACGACAGTGTGGCGAATTACTCTGGCTTGTATGAGAAGACGAATGGCTACCTACAGCTCCGTCCATCTGGAGCAGTGCTGAAAGAGTCAATTTACATTCCGCAGCATCCGCTAGGCTACGGCAAACGCATTGCGTGGCTGCATAATGGCCAACCGGGACGGATCGAGTCACTCACAGCCACGGGATGCCGACGAGACGACGTGGGCTACTACATCGATACCCAGGAAGGAGCCTCGGGCTCACCCATCCTCGCCACGAGTGATCATCAGGTTATTGCGATGCACCACTGCGGTGGCTGCCTGAATGGCGCGATACCAGCGCAATCGATAATCGAGGATCTCACCACAAAAGGCGTGTTACCGAATTGCTCCGTCGCAACTCGTGCAGGTCAATAAGGAACAGTTGAAGTGACACTAGATGCAGCGAAAGTAGGGATAGCTGGTTGGAAAGCAGGAATGATCGACGTTAAAGATCGGTGCCTAAGACAACATCAAGATTCTATCTCATGTCTTTCTCTCTCAGAGTTGTCGCCTACAAAACCTGGTGTAAGACCGTCGTTGTGTCTGCCACAATCTGGAGCTCGTGACCAAGAGGGTGACCGCCCATTGAGGAACAGTAGGACTGACACATATGAGTTCAAAAACGTCCTCACCGACCAGCTCGAAACGGCAATTTGGATAAGCCACGTCACCAGCAACCACGCCTCTGTCTGAAAGCATCCTCTGCGTTGCCAAGACCGTCAGCATTGAGAATTCATGAAACAATGCTGGATCAAAGTACCCGTCATGGACAATTGTTGCGGCGTTGCCACTTACGAGGTGTACGCACGCGAGCGCACGTGCTTTTTGTTGCACACTACACGAGCCGTCAGCTAAGTTTGTGCTTTGAACGAGATGATGAAGGCGACAAGGACAACGACGACGCCGAAAGTGTACAGAAGCTCTTGAAGCAGAAGCACTTTGAAAGTAGGAGGAGGAGTCGATAAGGTGACGGGTGCACAAGCTCTAAATATTTAATTTGAGATATGCGCGTCGAGATGGCAGCGGCGAGACTTGTGTGATGCGCAAATTGGCGCGTGCTTTCCTACGAAACACTTCAGTCATTCACGCATTCGCTTGTCCACGAGCAGTGAGGCGAGTGACGTAAAACTTGACGAAGACCAGCAGCTGATTCTAGCAGAAAAGACGTAGACGTTGCTGAGCCAGTGAACATCGTCTCGGCGTCTGTACTGTGGTAGCCTGTCTTTTCTTGGTAGCCGGAGCTGTCACCTTGAAAGCGGGGGGGGGGAGAACGCAAGCTGTTGTGGGATGAACGGAACGTTAATGGCAGCTGATGAAGAAGAAAAAGGTGGAAAAACAGTGGAGTACCGCCTTTGATCGTGATCACGACACTGCACAATGGTTGCAATGTGTGCTCGTCCTGAAAGGGCATGATTTGCGATACCAAAGGCTGAAGTTCTGCGCCAGTTGGGGAAGTAGGGCTGCGCTGAACACGTCGAGCATCCCCCACCGACGACGCTTCTACTACGGGTTGTCATGTGGTACTGTAGTGTTTTTAGGTGGATAGAGCAGTGTAGTTTGTACGACGCAAAGGCTCTATGTAAACATCGGGAACTTGCCATGCTGTACTCTTCGATATGTCACTGCATCACCGCGAATGGGCTTCTCGGGTCGGGTCAAACAAGACTCGGTACCAACATATTCGTAATTGCTCTAAAGTGTGCCTCATTTGATGCTGCCCGCAGATGTTACAATGTGGTGACGACTTCGCTTCTTGTGCCGCTCTCACTGCTGTTGTAGTCGTAGCTAACTTCCGCCTGGCAGTCACAAGAGCTACGGGCAAATGGTGGCGAATGTAATTTTCGCTTCTTCTGTAGCTTGAGCGCTAGGCTGGCTCCACCTGTTCAAGTGCATCAATCGATCTCGTCCACTTGAGTTTATTCATTTCTGCGTATAACTTCGCGCGACAAGAAGCAGCTACTGTTATGTCCGGTCCACGCATGCAACACGTTTGACAGTATCGACGTGTTCATTTGCATCTTTGAGAAAGACCGTCACATCTCGAAAGTCCGAAAGTACCAAGAAGAAACAGAGCATGGCCGTAGATGCAGACAAAACGCTGCACGAATACTACCTCAGCTTCGTCCAGATTATATCGATCTGCGACGATCTACGAGAGCAGGAGAACTCGGCGTTGCGCGCACAGGTGCACGACCTTACAGAGATGCTCGCAGCGTTCAATCTTTGTGAGCTGCAAGATCCGCATCTGATCGCTGTCCGGGACCGTGCGTTCCAACGCGACATCACACCGGAGGTAGGTCTTCTTGAGTTCTTTAGCACAAAACGTCGACTGCTGCAAGAAGTCATTCAGAGTGCGGTGGATGGGGACCTTAAGGAAGACATTGCGAGTAAGTTGCACGGAGAGTGCAGAAAAGTCTCCGAATGTCTCGAGCCCGGTTCCAGCGTTGCCGACGAGTCTGATCAAGAACTTGAGTGTCTGCATCAGCGCGTTGAGCTGCTCGAACGAGAAGTGGTTATCCTACGTCTACGCCAGGAGCTTTTGGAAGAAACGACGCCGAGGATAGAATGCCCTTCAGTCAAAATTGACGCTGATCAAGATATCAAACATGAGCAAAGAGAGCGTGGAAATTTTTGTAATGAGCCCTCTTACGAGCCTACGAAGGTTGTACAAGAGCAGCAGGAGCGAATCGTCGAGCTCGAGGACGCGCTGACAACGCAGTTGGCTAAGAACGCAGCACTGCGACAGCAAAGCCGCGGCTACCGTAAAGTGCAAACTATTCTCCAAGAGCTAAGCTGATGCCGCTTCCCTGAAATGTGGTCCGTTGACACTGACACCCATCCGACGCACACATTGTATGCTACTACATCATGAAAATGGTGACAATGTCGCACAGTCAAGTCGAGGCATGTGCAGAAGTCATCACCCGCGCGTTACACAGTTTCTTGATCCTAATATTGTCCAAATGAATCACGTGATCGAAGTGCGGAACAGCTTCTTCCGAACAGACGTGCTTATAAAAACTCGTTGTAGCTTATTCAACTTCTCGAAGAAGTACATCCAAGATGATTCTACCTCTTTGATGGTACTTTGAGTTCAGATACTTACTGAACGAATGCACATCTGAAACCCAATAAATACTAATTCCACTATTCTCCTACAGCATTTATTCAATGTGGCACCACAACCAGAGCTCTGCTATACCAAGAAAGTTGAGGTAGAGTGTGTCGGTCTATGAAGATCGCCCGATACGCTATAAAGCTTTGTGTCGACCTTTTACTTAATTGAAAGCATGCATCGCAAGCACAGCCGTGTTATCCTAACTTTGAAGGCTTCTTGTCCTCGAAGCTAGTACTCCTCGCGAGTTTACAATCCTAAATACCTCGCAAGCGCATGCTGGCTCTGTAAAATTAGCTTACAGAGTAAGTCAAACTCTATTCCGATCCTTGTAGCGATCAGAAGAAGTGCCTTACAGCTCGATGCCTGTACTTCGACGAGGAAGTCATGACAAGATAGCAACCTCATCACCATGTCTTTTAATAATGTAGCTAAAATAGGGGTCAAGTGGCAGAATCAGTGACTTCACATCTGCCATCTGTCGTCCGTTGGTTTTGTTCACGCACCTGTTACACTAAACAAGGACGTCCAACCCCCCTTTTACACAACCGAAAGCTTACACGTCGCGCAAAACATGGCTACAATTTAGAACTCGACACGCACTGGTGCAAAAGCCACCCTCTGATCCGGCATCTGATTCCATCCCTTTCGTCTCTCATGGAGCTGCTCGCAACGTCACTGGCTTTAAGCGCCGCCTCCACCGCGCTCGCAGCGCCGTTCTCGTCGCGCTTTGACTCGTCGTACGTTGTGCATCTGTATGAGAGCCGCGACCGCTTCGTGCCGCCTCAAGACGCAGCTGCGTTGCCGTCTCAGCTCATGACAACGGAGTCTGGGCACACGTTCGAGTGTTTTCTGCCGTCACTCGCTCCTTCAGACCCGGAGACTGCGGAGCCACTGGCTGTGAATGACCCGAAAGAGGTCGAAAGTGAGCAAGCCACTGACGCCTTGATGGCGTTCCATCGCGCCGCAGTTCGAGAGCTGAAGTCCCTCTGTATTGAGTATATAGACGAAGAGACCTCGTGGCTCTACCGAATCTGTGCGAACTCGTTGATCTTCCGGTCCCGAAAGTCGTTGAATGAAGTGGCAATTGACGTAGCAGGAGAAGCTGCACCAGCTGAGGAGGGAGGTGGTGGGTATGATGTGGAAGAAGTTGGTACTTTTGCGACTGATAGTAGTCGCTCGGTTCTCTCTTACGACGTGTTTGCTGACCTTGAGACGCAAGAGCGAATGAAGGATCTCGGTCAGGCGTTGTTTACTCAAACGTTTCGCAAGAACGGACAAGAGGTGCAGGTGCAGTTTATCTGCAGTGCTCGTGCACAGGACGATGTCGTGGCTGCTGTGCAATGGCGAGAAGCGGTGGCGACGGACGGTGGACGGGAGATTGCTGCATTTCTGGTTGAGTCACAAGTGTTTTGTAAGTCGAACGAGCCAGAAGAAGACACAGATGGACTGGTTACGATGCAGTCGCTGCTGCAGCCTCTCCAGGATGAGCACACGTGTGCCACGCGAGATGAAGGCTGGTGGACCTATGAGTACTGCTTCGGACGGTCGGTGCGACAGTACCATCGCGACGAAGACGGTCAGCTCACAGCCGACTATACGCTCGGTGTGTTTGATGCAGACGGGAACCGCGAATTGGAGCGGTTGGACTCAGCGCTGGTGTTGGAGCCTTTTGATGAGACTCATGACGTGTCACGTCCTGCGTACTTGGAGTTGTACGATTTTGGAACTTTGTGCAAAACATCGGAGAAGCAGGCGTCGCGGAAGGCCAAGGTCTTTCACTTTTGTAACCGAGACGGCTCGAGCCAGCGCCTGATAATGGTGAAAGAGATGCAGACGTGCGTTTACATGGTCAAGGTTTCGTCTCCAGTCTTTTGCGACCACCCGCATTTTCTCAACGATGAGCAGGAAAGCGACGAAACGTTTGAGATCGTGCACTGCATCCCGGCAGTAGAAAAAGCCGAAGCAGTGGAGACTTTGGAAGTAGTGGCTGAGTAAATAGTGCTGCAAGTGGAATTTGCAGCGACAAAGCGATTGATTACAAGTCGTCTATGCTCGTGTCAATCAAGACGGTTTAAAGGTCTTTTTGTTCGTCGTGGTTATGATCCGCCCATGATGTCGCGATGGATGCCCCCGTTACGCGTAACAGAGGTAGCGCACGGTGATTGGCTGGAAAAGCACCCAGCCCTAACTCCTGATCTGGTCAGATTGAGCATAGTAAAACGCAGCTAAACGGCCCCTCCTCTGAAACTGGCTCAGGGACACGTGTGGTGTACAACCAAAAGAGTGTACAAAGACCAGTGGTGTCGGATCCGCCTCGTAACCGCCACTCATTTGACTGATGGATCAGTCAGTCATTGTCCAATTTACCACCTAAAGTGCCAAACTCCCTCCTTCGACTCGCTCGCTCACTCTCTCTCCTTGCTACTCGTCTCTTTCCTCGCCCGAAAGTCCCGTTTGTTCATGCTGTTGGTCGACCCGCTTTATACCAGCAGCGACGACATTGTTGACCTTACCTCGATCTTCACGGGCTTCTTCTACATTGGCGCGTGCGACGATCCTGCCTAAAAGACCGTCTCCGAGCAAATACTACGACCCAACCTCTAAACTGCTGTGTCATCTCTCCCGTTAACTATCTCCCCCGTGTCCAATCATGACCCCCTCATTCCCCGAACCCATGAAGCTCCACGATGACGAGACGAGCTCCACCCAATCGGATACCTCCGACATGGTCCCGAATACGTTCGAGGGTCCGGAGAAGAACCTCGAGATCGACTTCAAGGCTGGAGTGGGCCATGCTCGTGGCTTGCGAGAAGTGTCTCGTCAAGACCTGGACGAGATGCTGGAAGCTGGACAGTGCCAGATCTTGTCCCGTATTAGTAACGAACACATTGATGCGTACGTGTTGTCGGAGAGCTCCATGTTCATTTACGCACACAAGATCGTGCTCAAGACATGCGGGACCACGACGCTGCTCAAGTGTCTGCCATTTATTAAGACTTTTGCTGAACGACTAGGCCTCGAGATCGAGTGGGTGAATTATTCCCGCAAGAACTATACGTTCCCAGAAGAGCAAAAGTACCCACACACGAGCTTCCAGACGGAAGTGGCCTTCCTGAGCTCATACTTTCCGGATGGGTCGGCGCATGTTTTGGGCCCGCTGAACCATGATCACTGGTATATCTACGCGTGGGACGCCGATATCCACGAGCAGCAGCCTGTCACGGATGTATTGACCCATCCAGGCACGGGGAAAGAGCTCGGGGCGAATGAGAGCACGCTGCACGTGCTGATGCAGGATATGCATCCAAGTGTAGCCAAGCAGTTTTTCAAGAGCAATGATACGACAATGGTGTCTCGTCGGATGACGATCGAAAGCGGCATCCGTGATTTGGTGCCGGGTGCAACAATCGACGATTTCGCTTTCGACCCTTGTGGATACTCGATGAATGGCATTTTGTTTGACGCGTACTACACGATCCACATCACTCCCGAGAGCCATTGCAGCTACGTGAGCTTTGAGACGAATGCACGTCTCCGCTCGTATGCGTCGCTACTGAAAAACGTGCTCCGTTGTTTTCGTCCAGCCAAGTACTCGGTGAGTGTGTACACGGATCGCAATGCGTTGGAGACGGCCAAGGGCAGCAATATGTTTTCCGAAGACCTGGTCAAGATTGACGACGATCTGCTATACAAGCGCAAGGGCGGGCACACGCAGGCCACGTTTGAAGGCGACTACATGTGCCGTATGGCCAACTACTCTCAATCGCAGCATCCTGCTCTCAGCCGAGTCGTAAAGAAGATCCGCTCCCCTTCTTTTGCATAGATGGGGACTGATGCATCAAGGACGTTGCTATGTCGATCGGACTATGTCTGTTCTTTCACTTTTGCTATCCACTTACTGTCGAAGCATGGTTAGTGTTTGCAAGTCTTTAGTGGCCTTAAATAGGACGCCGGTTTTTGCGTATCTGCTGCAATATCGATTTCTCTCGCTGTCGATTGCGTTCTTTTTCTAGAGTCTCACTTCTTTAGAGGCGTCTCATGGCAGCTTTAAAGATGTTATTTGCGATTAAAGTCGTTGTCATCATACCTACGGCTTCAGCTTGAGTTTGTGATGTCGTGGCGGGTTTTTCAGCTGTTGGTTCGATCCTACCCGCCTATTTAACTATCTAAGCAATTCAATGCACAGATCACCAGAGGCGAGACTCGAACCAGCGATCGGGCCTCTTTTGTACCAATGTATCAGGGGACGAACTCTCACATGATTGCAGCCTGAAGGGTGAAGCAATTAGTAATGACTGTGCGCGAGGTAAATGCCGAGCGTACTTATCTGTATGTCTGAAATAACGCGGGTTATTTTCTTGTGTTAAGTGCGATCATGTAAAGGGCTTACCAAGGTTATTTGAACCGGTTATGCTGTGTGTCCACACCAAGTAAAGATCGGTAGATCTGAGTGGTACAGTCTTGGTACCACGCAATTACGGTAATACCGCACCCAATCGGGTAGGGATCAGGAATCAGACTTTTGTCATAGGATCGCAATGTAGAAGTCAGTCAGACAAGGTTCTAGGGTTTTATTACCGCAGTTAAAGAACAAATAAAGTTCAGTCCCCCTTTTGAATCATTAGACGCTAGTGCCTAGTCAAGGCATAGCGTGTTGTAAGAGTGTTAGCCTTGTGAAAGCGTTTACTCCTGTTTAACTAGTGTTGACTAGCTAATGTGTGATCTGTGAATCGTAATTTTTTTGCATACCGGGGTAGATAAGCTTCTACGCTTGAACGACTGTACGTCGTTGTTAGTTAGTTATAAATAAGAGGCTCTTTATGTCTAAGACTCCTATGTTGAGGAGCGCTAAGTAGCTCCGCGACACTTGGTGGCACTCGTAGTCAATCTACAGTGAGTCTTCACAGACTGAATCCTCGGCGAGGAGTGAAAACGGCCACGAACCTCTCTGAGGACAAGCAGATAATGCTTGAGAAGCTCACGACGCTGATCGGGCACGAGCAAGCGGCTCTTACAGTGTCGCAAGGTCTGGACGCGCTTCGTGCACGTCTTGAGGCCTTCTCGAACTTTTAGTTCACGTCGAATGAACAGGTTCATGACCATTTGGCATCTCCCATGCCCACATGGTATGTTTTAATACCGGACACTGAGTCAAGGACTAGTCCTCTGGTCTTAGGTGTCAAGACTTTTGGGTGGAAAGAGGGGGATACTCTCCTTTTGTGGATTCGAGAAACAGAGGTTGCCATCAGATCGGCCTTGCTGCGGTTAGTGCTGCAGAAGGTGGGTCTGGCCCTATCGAATTTAGGTGGCTGAGCCAGGGAGTAGGCCTTTACTTCTAACACCTCGATAGTAGAAACTTTTCCCACCTGGGGCATGCTAAAACAGCAGCTACCTCGGGTGTTTGCTCCGTCCAATCCGGCATATCGCGTGCGATCACGCTTCCTGTCAACTTGTCAGGATAAAAGGACTTAGTCGATTATATCCAAGAGTTGCGAACTCTCATCGCTGCTATGCAACTTGGCTCTTTACCTAACACGGTTTTGGTAACCAATTTTTGGGGGGGCTTCGCACTGGTTTTGCTAGAACAGAAGTGTTTAGTACACAATTCTTGACATTTGAGGGTGCAGTGGACATAGCGTTGAACGCAGAGTTTCACTTTGGAGCTGCCCGCTATGGAACTCATGGGTTCCAATCGAACTCGTCGAGCAATGCTCATATTATGGATAGGACAGAGCCCATGGACCTTAGTCTCGCTGAGAGACGACGAAGCAGCTGAGCTTTACGCTGCTGAACAGCGTTTAAATATCCGCAGATGTTTTACGTGCGAAAGAATAAAACACTTTCGCCCTAATTGTCCTTTGAGATGGACCAGACAGCCTCATTCGAGCCGACATCCCGTCGCGAATGAGAGAGTTAGTAAGGCGCAGAAAAACGTCGAGTCCCAGTAGGCGCGGGGATCCCTGCTAGAGAATATGTAGGCTGTGTTATACATCTGGGAGGTGATGGAGAACAGGCCTAGCCCCAAGTGACTTCGTGAGCAATGTCACGAAGCTTGAGTATAAGCCAGGCTTGTTAGTTGCGAAAGCAAAAGTGAGAAGCTTTGATAAGTCATGATCGATATAGATTGACTCCGGGGTGTCGGGAAATAATGTCCGATATTTCTCCATGGACCTTATCCAGCTGTCTGCTGAGGCGCTAAAAGTGCGAAAGAATGAGAATATCACTGTTTGCTTATCTACATGTGCATTGGCCACTGTACCTAAAGTTCCTGTGAACTTATGCATGAAGTTAACGAAATCTGTCTAGTCCTTAACATGGATAAGAGGTGTGATCTCATACTTGGTATGGATTATATTGAAAGCCATGAGCCTTGAATTTATTGGAGTCCAAATACCTTAGGCGCAACACGCACTGTTCATAGTGGAGCATTGGAGTGTTATGAGCCCATCTCTGCTAGGAAATAGAAGCGCTATTGGCGCGAGCCACAGACTGAGACATTTATTGTGCTGAACATCGGGATTTTAACCTCACGGAGTTAGACGATATCACAAAAATTAGTTACGAGCCAATCTCGCTGACTGTTAGTAAAACGGCACCTTCTCCGTCGAGTAATAATCGTTGTGATAACGAATTACTGAAAGCTGAACGAATTGTTGGCCTAGAGCCAAGTTTATTACGGGTTGAGCCCTTTTGGTGAGCGTGGAGTGGCACGTAAGTACCCACTGAGTGATGTTGGCCGTGATTGCGACGCACTGATTGTCAGTCAAGACATTGTTGGTGAAATAACAAGTCATTAAGGGCTGGTACCATTTAATGAGCGTGGAGTTGCACGTCAGTACTTACTGGGTGGTGTTATCACTGGAAGTGACTCATTCCCGGATGTCATTAATGACATTGGATCGGACAAAGATCAAACTAAGGTTGACACCGTTCTTTACCTTGGAGACAGTGTATTCCCAGATGTCGGTCATGACATCGGCCCTGATATTAGGCACTTTGAGGTTAAAGAAGTACGTCACCTTGGAGAAAGTATAGTCCCAGATTTCGGTAATGATATCGGCCCAAATATTGGATAAATTAGGTTTGACGCAGTCCGTCACTTTGGGGGCGGTTTAGTCCATGATGTCGGTAATGACATCGGCTCTTGTGCAGAGCAAGTTAAGGATGATGATGCAATCAACCTTGGAAACGAGAAAGTTCCAGTCTATTTGAGACATTCAGTCTCGTCACAGAGACGACAGAGATACCAGATTGCAGCTATACAACGTCTGTTACGCCACCGAGTGATACTAGCGAGCAGATACATACACTGTTTAATGGAATGACCGTTGACGTAGACGGGTCAGTGAGTCTTGAGACTCTACCCTCATTAAAGTCTTAAAAGAAATGTCGGTTTATAAATTTTGCCTGATCTTATAGTCAGGCGTTTTTTCTGAAGTGGTGGTCATTAAATCTGATAGTGAGTTTAAATCGTCGTCCCTTCTTGATGAAGCCGTCTTGGAAGACACGAAGGCGGCAATGAGTGCTCGAAGTGGGTCATCCTTTTCGATCTTGAAAGATCCTTTAAATCCCTTCTACACCCTGGCTAGGGAATTTTAGAATGTGGTGTGTCACGATCCACCTTCCACTCTGCATCCTGGTCGATGCGTACGTCATGAGATTGACCTGTTTCCTGGAATCAAATACTGTGTGACCAGGCAATGACCCTTAGCAAAAGAGCAGTGTGACTTCATTGACGAGTTCTGTAGTGCAAAGCGCGCCGCTGGAATAGTGCGTGAGAGCAAGTCTCCGCACTCGGCACCGACATAGTGTGTCAGAAAGCCTGATGGTAAGTGGCGTATTGTACGTGCTTACAAAAGCTTAAGGCAGCCAATTTACCGGCACAGACGGCTATTACTAGGTAATACGTCCTTAAAAAAGCTGTGGTGGGTTAAACTATGTTTAGTGCACTCAATTTGGGATATTGGTGGTATCAATAGCTTATGCGAGCGAGATATTTTCCGCGTACAGCGGTTAGTACTATAAGCGCTAAGCTATGGGAATGGATTATCAAGTCTCAAGGGCTTGGCTAATGCCCCGGCTACATATAACCGTCTTGTGACGACTTTTATTTTAACTTTACCGAATATATGCACCAAGCTATTTCGATGACACCATTGTTAATAGCCGTGCGGAAAAAGAAAGTTAGATGTGAAGAATCACATTGATCATTTACGAGCAGTGCTTGGTGCATGCGCACCAATAAGTTGTATACAATTGCATTAAAATGCATACTTGGTGCTGAAGTAATTCCCTTCCTAGGGTGCTTCGTCGGGAAGCGCGGCCTGCGGGCGGATCCCGCTAAGGTAAAGTCGATTGTTGACTGGCCGATTCGTACGTTCGTAAGGACTTGCGTAAATGGTTCGGCCTTGGTAATTACATGCACAAGTACAGTGCTAAGTACGCTGATACGGCAAGGCCATTGATTAAACTTCTCAAAAAGGATGCAGTCTGGTGTCGGAATGCAGTCCAGGCTCAAGCTTTTGAAAAAATTAAGTAAAGTATTCTTCATGTTCCAATTTTGGCTTTGCCTGACCCCGAGTGAGCTTTCAGTGTCGTCTGTGACGCGTCCGATTTTTCTATTGGATCTTCATTATTGCAGACAGATGTTGATTGACATAAGCCCTTTATTGCGTACGAATCGCGTCAGCTAAAATCTGCAGAGAAGAAAAATCAGTCCACGACAAAGAGTTACTCGCAATTAATTATTCTATTGTCAAGTTCAGAGTCCACCTGACTTGGCTCAACGCCTTTTGTGATCTTTACATATCAAGCGTCATTACG